AACCCCCCCCCCCCCCCCCAAACAAAAAAATAATAATAAATATCTAAAGTTGCAACTCAATCTATCTGAAAACGCTGAATGAGTTAGTGGAAAATTAAATTAGCCCATTTAAAGTGTACCAAGTGTATTGTATTCACATTAGATACCATAATTTTATAATGTTATATGTTTATCTTTTTGGTAAATAGATACTTGTTGTCCCCCACCCCCCAAAAAAAAACCCAGCAAACACACACACACAAAACCCCCAACTCTAAGAAAAAATATTCTGAATCCACCAGTTCAGATTTCAAAAACAAGCTCTCCTCAAAGCGGGGGTAAAACTATGTACATCTGACTCTCTCCAGAGCCCACAATGGTGGAGCCTCGTGCACTGGGCCACTCTATGTCTTCTTGGAAGGAAGCAAGACTAATTCTTTAAGAAAATAGAAATAGGTATATTTCCTTCTACATTTCTACCAAGGAGAACTTGGTGATTTCAAAGAAGATACATACAAGCTATGATGATCAACTGATTACTGCTTTTACAGGAAGAGAGTGTTTTCAAGCACTTTAAAAAGATACAGGAAATCCCAAATTTGATGCATCAATGAGATTGTTATTTGCAAGATCCAAGAGTTGAAGCAAAACAAGTTTAGAGATCTGTTGAGGGATTACTAACATTGAACATGTTGGCCAGAGGATAAGAATCCTCCATGACGAAAACTTCTTGCCCAGACACGGAGTAATATTTCAAAGTTATGTATTGTCCTCGAAGTCCTGAACAACAAGTTTCTTCGCAGTTTTGTAGTCATGAAGGAACTTCTGCCATAAAATTGTCACCTCAAGTGCAGACAGTCAAGATAAGTAATCAAGCCTACTGAACTTGAATCTTTTTATTGCAAAATTCACCACTTTGAACCATTTCACATCCTACATTCAGGAAAATATCAAGATGGTTAATCTTTTGACAAATCTAAATATTCCACGAGTATAATTTACAGGAAGATGAAGGAATATTGCCATGAAAAGGGGATTGTCTAGTAAGTGGGCCTGAGCACTTGAGAGTTGAGAGCATGCACCTCAATTTTTTGGCGAGAAGGTCAAATGATGTGAGGTTAGTAGGGCCTCAATCTCAAGCTGAGATTTTGGACCAGCAAGCGAATTTTTTTCTATAAAGAAATCCAATTCTAACAAGTTGATAGAGTTTCCAATCTCAAGTGGAATTAGACCTGAAAAGTGTTGCTGAAAATGGTCAGATATTGCAGCCCCATTACCCATCCAATATGAGCATAAATCTCTAACATGGATTATGTTGTACTTAAAAGAAAATTAGTCCCCACAGTTTGAACAAAGCTGTTGGATCTCAGCAGAGAGCGAATTGCTTGAAGCTTCAAAGCCCCGCATTTGGGTTAGGTATGCAAAAGATTATAGTAAGCCACTGGTATGAATCATATGATTATTAAGGGACAGTTTGGTACGTTGAAGATTGGTGCGCCAGCTGAGTTCAACTTGTATGGTAGAGTTTTATCCAGATAGCTTATTATCAATCTGTTCCAGATTGCACAACTTGCCAAATGACCATACCCACCTACACCTAGTGAATTATTGTGCACTTCAAGTACTTGAAGAGTAAGCATCAAGCTGAACAGCAGTGACATTCCTTCAATGAGCTGGTCAAAGCGAATCATAATTTTTTCGGTGTTCACTTCAAGGTCCTTGAGATTTTTGGATTTGGCCAACTTCTGGTGTTTTCATCGACAAAAACAGTTTGCTATGATACAGACAGCGTAGAATGTTGAAGGATTTTTACGCAAATGAATTATAAGTTATGTGTAGTTAAAAAAAATCATCCAAGTATGATTAAGTTTGATGAAATTTACAGTGAGCAACTCTGATCGTATGGTAACAGACTGACAACTGCAAAATATTTTATGGATTTAACAATAAATGAGACATAATAAGCATGAAAGTAGTTACACCGTATGCGATACATAGCGGGTCACATTACGAATTCGGGGCACAATTCGCCACTTAGAAAATTTAGATTCGTTAGGGGTAGCTTGCTTTGCTATGCAAATTCGATTAGTGGTACGTTGTAAATTATTTTCGGGTGCGTTTAAAGTTTTTCAAAGTATATAGTAGAAAACTAGAAAGCTAATTATGAATTTTAATATTTTTTCCCATACAAAATACTTAAATATTTCTTTTTGATGGAGTTTGTTTCTTTGTTCTATTTTTTTCACATAGCTCGTTTTAGGATCATGGTTTTGCTTTACATTTAATTAACATACGTGTTTAGTTATAGTAAAACTATTAGCTCATATACTCTATTGTGTGTCTCTCTTCACTTAATTGCACACATTGCACTGCATCTTGCGCACGTGCACTTAAATAGACTTTGCATTTAGCGTGCCTGTAAGTGGTACGCCAATGTTGGAGAACCGGTTCGTGTATTGGAGGGAATCGGTTCACAAATATACTGAGAATCGGTTTGCAGAAACTGCACAATGGTTCGAGGGGGGGCCCGGGGAATCGAGCAACATAATATTGGTTCGAAAGAAAGTGTGTTAAAGGGATAGCTAACCATTTTGATCAACATATGAGGTGCCAAATTACAGATTTGAATACCAAACTTGAGGCTCTGCAGTAAATCAGACACTATGGTGGGGGCAACAACTTTATGATAGAACGTGCTTAGAAGAGAAAAACAGAGAACTAATATCTAGTATGAATTAAAATTTCATCAGAGATTAAATACTAATAGCAAGCGACAGATTTATCCATAGTATGGTTTAGTTTATTTCCAAACTGTGGACTCTGACCAGCAGCAAGAACTAATAATTACTCTACAGAACAGTTAGACCAATACAAGTTTAATTAGTTAGTAATCTAATGATTAAAATAGACTGCAAGTTAAAACCGACATTACATGAAGACAGATATAAATCTATTTCATACTCATACGGTATGAAAGAGGGGGGAAATACTAATAGCTACCTAGGAAGCAAGCGATTTTCCATCTACATTGGATTGTAGAAGAAAATTAGATAATATAATATAACATAACATAATTACTAGCATGAAGCTTTTCATCATGTTAGGATAACTCAATTAGATTACAATTTTCGACTCATCCTACCATAGAAATAAATAAATAAATAATTAATTAATTAACGTTAGACTTGGGCTTAGTACCCCTGTAGGGAGAAAAGCGGACAGGCTTCAACTTTTGGAAGTACTTGTGTATAAATCAAAATCATGGTAACCAAATGGCAAGTAGTGCTCCCAGTACATTTAATGGCTGAGATGGCCAAAATTGTTAATTCTTGCTCAAAAAGACGAGCAAGAAAACAAGAAATAGTGCTTTTCTCAAGGATTTACATAAAAGTTCTAGTTACAAGCCAAACAATATCGACAATAGTTTGTGGGAGAAATCCAATTAATGCATCAAACAATTGGGCATTTCTTTGCCTTCAACATGAAATAAAATTGAAATTTGCGGGAGAAATTACCTGATGAACAGATTGCAGCAGCCTCCATTTTTGTGCGCACGTGCAAAATTGGAGCCCTAATGCAACAATGTGGGGGGGAGTCCAATTGCAGCAACCAAATGATGGGTAGAATGACGATGGAAAATTCAACAAATTTAAGCTTTTCGAATTTTTAACCCAATTTCTATATTTTAGAGGAAAAAAACCCCAGACTTTGAGGAAGAGAGAAACGCGCCTCTTTCCTTCAAAAGTTCTCAGAAAACCCTAGATTGAGCATCGGCACACATTGCGTTTCTGGAGACGAAAGGATCAGGTTGGAATTAGTTCAAATATCTCATAAAACTGCGTAAATTCTAGGCTCCTAAAAATCGTGATTTTGAACTCACCCTTTAAACTCTGGGGGCTGTTTGGTTCACTGTTTTTGAGGAAAGCTATTGTTGAAAGCCTGTCAAAAGTGCTACTTTGTGGCAGGCTTTCAAGCAAAATTCTTTTTTTAGAGGCGTTTTTGTTTAAAGCCTGCAAAAAAAATGATACTTTGGAAGGCTTTCAAGAGAAATTTTTTTTTAACCAAATACATATTGCTCAACCCTCCAAAAGTGGTTGGGAGAGGAGGAATTTTCTTGAAATTTCAATATTGCTCACATTCCCTTCCTATCCCCTACTCTAAACAAACACATATTGTATTGTACCCTCTCATCCCCTCATTGTTTATACAAACACAAATAAATACATTTCACGCTTTTCCTTTCCACTCCCTCCCCTTGGATTTAAGTCAATCACCCCCTCCCTTCCCCTCCTTTGTGTCCAAATCGGCCCTAAGGTGTGCTTGACAATTCCAAAATTGGATAGGGTCTGAAATAATTTTGGCTTAACTAGGATA